CCGTAAGCCATGGAGCAGGAAGATGTTTCAATTTAATCACCTTAAAGGGTGCGTGTTTGTCATACAATTTGGTGATAAAGTCATTAAATAGTGCAACTTGCTCGTTAACAGTTCCTGCGTCCATCACAAGCGACCAATCAATACCACGAGCATCACGGAGAAATGCTTCATGATTCATACCACTAAAGTTGCGTTGAAGAATTATTTTAGGAGGACGAATTTTATAGGACAAAAAGATGAGGTCGTGATATGAAAAGGCATTAGCCGAACACTGACCGTGCTTAGCAACATGCTGAGTAGAAGAAAGAATTATTAAATCCAGAAGAGAAGGGGAACAATTTGGAAAATGATGGGTTGCGTTAAGTGGCAAAATATGCATGTTATTAGAGTTGACTATGGATTGCAACAATGAAGCTCGACGGTCATTTTTGAGGAGGCAAGTATTAAAGTCTCCCATAATAATTGAATGGTTATAGGACGGAACAAAAGTATCTAAGAGATTTTCGAAAGAAGCAAAGTAGTTTATATTTAGAGAAGGAGAATGGTAAACACCGAGTAGAACCTTTATCTGAGAGAGTAGGATTTCAACCAATAGGTGCTCCCCGGCATTGGGTGGGGGCGGCTGAACAGAGGTATTAATAATAGAGAAAGGAATGTGTTCACGTAAGTAAATTGCAATCCCACCACCTACTGAGCCAATGCGATCATTTCGAATTAGACGGAAACCAGGTAGTGCATAAGCAGAAGAAGGTAAACATGGCTTCAACCAGGACTCTGAAATTAAAATAGCATGTAAGTTTTTGTGGTCAAGTGACGCCAGCATGTCAGGGTAATGAGCTGGAATACTCTGGGCATTAATATGAATTATGTTAAAATTTTTTGGTACATCAGTAAACTGAGTTTCAAGAGTATCAAAAAGTGATGGAATACTTGCAAAACTATTATCACTGCTATGGCCTAAGGATGACAATGACATATAAGAATCATCGTCACTGCTAAAGACAGACATAATATACTACATAAATAATTAAATAAACAAACAAATAGATACCTGCAATAAATTGCTATAAAAATTAACCTTAATGAAGATCTCCACCTGCCGGTTGAAGTGCAAATCGGAATATTTATGAAAAGAAAAATAAAAATCACTACTACCAAAAATTTAACTATCTGTCACTATTCTAGTTTTCTGATAGAAAATGCCTATGTTCCATTCAAGCATCTTAAAAACAACATTACATAATGTCCCTTTAACTAAAACGAAAAGAAAAAAAAATAAAAAAATAACAAAAAAAAACGAATATCGAATCATTAAAGCGTAGAACGGAACACAAGCACCTTACAGATGTCACTTGTCAATGTCAGTGTCATTCATTTAAGTCACAAAAATTACAATACCAAATTTTCTGTGAGAAAAGTAAAAATAAACAAACTTAACTGAATATACTTTGGAGGGTGAGCAAACATACATGCCACGACAGACAGTGGACATAAGTTACAAATAGTCTAAGAAAAATAAACAAATAACAGAAGCACCTGCAGAAAAATGGACATCGCCGCTCGGAGTTATTTCTTGCCTGTGACAGCAGCCCTCTTCCCTCTCGTTAACACCAGAGGCTCCTTAGTAGAAACCGGCTTCTGGATAACCGGAACAGGGATCTTTTCTAGCTCGGTGATGGAAGTTATACGCGATCGTTTGCCATCAGAGCCTATCACTACAATGATACCGTTTTGAGTGAAGCATTTGTTTACTCCGAACTTAATACGAGCTGCCATGAAAGCTTCACGTCTCTGTTTAGTTAAAAACTCTGAGACAGTTATGCCCGTGTCCTTCAATGAAGTTTTGGAGTACCAGATCTTGTTACGCATATCCAGATCACCCAATTCAAACAAGATAGGCCTCGGTTTGTCACCAACAACCGTGCGCCCCATTCGATGAGAACGTATTACACACCTAGGGGAGACACCCGAAACCTTCATCTTATCAGTGAGGACTTTAGTCAGCACAGACGTGGTATCTTCACTTGTCTGCTCAGGCACACCATGACATAACAATATCTTCCGCCGGCTTCGCATCTCAATATTATCGATCTGGTGCGTAATCAGACTGACTTGTTGCTGCAGGCTTTGGATTGCATTCATAATAAATGATCTAAATGCAATAAATTCATCTCTCAGGTTGTTAATATTAGGTGAAGGTGTTGCAGCTTGAAGTTCATCCTGATATGCATCCATACGTTGAGTGAACAAGTGTTGGAATTTACATATTGAGTCTTGTATGGCGTCCATGTTTTTGTGCAAAGTGCAATGCAACTAACTCCAAATTTTGTGGTGATGTAGTAGAGATAAAGTGTGGATAACACTCACCGGCAGGTACCGTGCATTACTTGTTAATTTTCCATAAAAATTAACTCTGTATTAAGGCTTTAAATATTTTTCTTGTAAATAAAAGTTCAGTGTTCAATAAATGTATGTTAACTTTACACCTACCCGCCGAATAGATCTATGTATTTTGATTCTCCAAGTTCTGATGCGAGTAAGAGGGGCGTCACGCGCTGTTTGCGGTCACGTGACGAGTTTAAAATATTTGTTTTTCATAATTAATTTAAGCAATATCATAAATTGATTTAATTGATCTTTACTCATAGGCCTAGGTCACATGGTAGCTTAGATCGTCGGAGTGAAACAATAAGTAGTATAAAGGTTAGAATCAGCTTATTAATGTATTTAAAAAAATAATGTATATAATAAGCACAAAAGTGCGATTATCGGTAATAGTATATTAAACACTACCAAAAAAAATAATAGTATGTAGTATTTATTTTCGTTACCTATCTACACCCGTATTGGCATATAGAATGAAATTATACAGATAATAGGACTCACGATATGGAAGACGCATCCCAGCAGGAAGAGATCAGGCGGCAGCTTCAAGTTAGGATTGTGTCCGTAGAACTGCGCGCGCGGCGGCGGAGCGCGGACCGCGCCCGCGTATACCTTGTTGCCCACCACACCGGTCGCTGTTGCCTAGCAACGGGCACACGTCTATTTATTTATTACTAGCTGACCCTACAGACGCTGTGCTGTCTTATTCATGAATCACTATCATCAGCGTATTTACGTCTCCACTGCGGGGGCTCAGGCCTTCCTTATGGATGGTAAGGACGATGGGCCATGACCCTCCACGTGAGCTCAATGCGTATAAGACGGTTTTAACGACCGCAGACGCAACCGGGACCTACGGCTTAATGTGCCTTTCAAAGCACGGAGTAGCTCGAGATAATAATTTTTTGGTCACCTATTCCGTGATCGACCCTACGCCACCGAGCTTACTCAATTAATATTGAATTCGGATTGGTATGTTAAAGCGTCAATGCCATAGACCACAGATTAAGAATTAGTTACTACCATAGATACTAATATGATCCGTCTATGGATTAGGCGTAGAAATAGCTTTTACCATACAGCCGAACTTTCGGTACGGCTACATATTTGTAATTTTTATGTCACTGTATTTTTGTTATGATGTGTTACTGTGTGTTTTTCACCGGATTGGTTTCAGCGGAAGATCAGCGCTGATCACAAGACCAGCATATGCTGAGCTGGAACCGTTTTGGGACAGAGATTTAGTTGTGTCCGTGTGATTGTGTTATTTATGTTTTATTTTTGTCCCAAATAAATGGATTTTATTTATTTTTATAATAATAAAAAAAGTGTTTATTACTTTCATGCTTTATAATATGTATACAACATTCTTGGTTCTTTTTTCTTGGGTGTATGTAAATAGTTTTGTTGGTATTCTGACACGGAAACAAATAACTGGTCTTGTGAAAAACATGGTTTTTCAAGTTTGATGCCACAAACACTTCTGTCAATTCTATGTTATTAAAGCACTAATGTACAAAAAAAATAACAATATGGTTAGGTAAAATTTGATAGAATCAAGCGTAATTTTGCGGAAGTCCATTGCTATAACGTTGAAACTCTGATATCTAGTAATTTTCACATCCAGTAGTGAAGTATGACGTGCTGTGTATCACCCGCACATAAATTAACATGTACAAACGGCAACAAATCTCGCAAAATCACCACTCTACACGTGTTTCGCACCATCCTCAGAAGTTAACAGATCTTACAGTGCCAACCACCGAGTGGTCATGCGGATACTAACTGGGTGTGGAAGTTTCTAGATATCAGTTTCACAGTTATAGTTGGAAAACAGATACAAAATATTCATAAATATATTTTAACTGAAATAAAGCTAATAACAGGTTTGTATATATACTTATAATATCATCACCTAAAAATTAAAAAGGTTTCAAGTATTTCAATGGATATAATCGAGTTCGACATTATTGTATGTATTTTTTTTGTTTATCATAAAGTGTTGAAACTTTTGAATCTCGACATTTGGACGACCACACTTAATATTAATACCTGATGAGGATGATGAGCCGGTCCGAGTAGAAGACGAGTTGGAGCACGAACGGCCCCGCCCGCCGCGTGCGCAGCCGTCATCAACCTGATATACACATCACTATTGGCTACTTGTTTCAATTCCACATAGATATGTTTCAATCATAAAAAAAAATTCTTAAGCAGCAACACTGAAATAATCATCAATGTAACATTGCACGTTGACATTAGGAGTCATATTGTATTTGTTTGTTAACTGATTAAAACCAAATGACGGTGGATGGGTAAAATCAGAGTTACAGGTTACAGACGATTTGAAACTAAAATCAAACTGTTATCTTTTTCTTGTTTGTTTTAATGTTCTGAAACTCAGATATTTTGAGTTTGTAAGTCAAATACTACAAGAAAAGCGCGTTTATTGAGTCAACATTGAGTCTTAGAAAGTGCTTTTTTTTCTTCAAAATGCTAAAGAAATTTATCTCTTTATGTTTGTTATATTAATTTCATTTTATAATTTGTGTCTATTTTTTTAGTCTCATGTTATTTTTTTTCATAATTCTGTCTGTTTTTAATTTTTTTTTTTATATATGTTTAATATGTCTAGCTGTAAGCATGCCTTAATAATAATAAATAAATAAACATTGATATTGGTAAAATAAACGACCTGAGCGTGCCGGCAGCGGAAGGTTCGTGTTCGGTGGGGGGCGCGGACCCTTGTAGGCGGATGCTCAACATGTTCGCTAAAGCCGTTTTCGTTTTATGATTCACTAACAACGCTCCACCAGCTCCTGAGCAATGAAAAGAAATGGACATAGTAATTTGGTAAAGTGTATAATGAAGTAGGGAAACATTTTGTATGATTTTTCTCATGTCGAGCGTTGCTAAGCTGTATGCTATCACTCGTTAAGTTTCTTGATATACACTCTGGAATACTAGCCGTCAAGGAGAATCCAGCATTCAAGTCATGGGGGTCTCATGAATTCGAAATCCAGTTTATAATAATAAAAATAAAACTTTATTTGTTCTCTGTTAGGAAAATTAATCCGACTTTTAAGACAGGAGAGGACGAGGGGAATTTAAAAGTCGAGATCCTTCATTCGATTCATTAGAATCGATTCTGTCGACTCGTCTATGATTCCTCAGATCTGGCCTTGTATGAACAAGACGGTCGTATTGCGAATTAAGACACCGACACAGATTCGTATCATCGGTATTTCGAAAGAGCAATCGTAAGAGGTGCACGGAGTGAAAATGACGTGGTAGCGAGCCCAACCTGATATATACTCGCTTGGGACACTCTTGCCAGGAGTAGCATATTATTAAATACATTTAGTTATACTATGGGTATATTTTTACAAATATATACTGTAACAGATATTTTTTTTTTGTTATTACCTTACATATTTATACCATAAAATAGATAAATAATCGTTACATTTACGTTGATATGACACGGATTCTCCGTCAGATATGTATTGACTCTTATGACGTTGAACCATTGTAAGTTTGTACGGTGTGTTATCGAGTAGTACCTGTTTGTTGGTCTTGCGCAGCGGGTGTGAGTAGGGCGTCGACTTGCGGTTCCGCTATCGCAGTCCCCACCACGTGCTGGGTTACGCCCACACCTACCCCCACTCCCACTCCCACACCCACACCTGGAGCTACCTTTATAGAAGAGCAAATCATTGCATACTTAACCACATCACAGATAAATAAAATATCTATTTGCATCACAATATATGTACCGAAACATACCAATTCTGGGAGAAATAAATCTGATAGTGGATTATTATATTTTAAAATACCCAAATTAATGGAGTTGTAAATTTTTCAATGGGTTCGACATTACATATCTCTTTCACTCGCGCGCAAACTATTGCATTCGCACAGATGTATCTAGATAACTTTGTTACAATTCTCTTCTTTGTCGTTTCGCTCTTGGCAGAGCAATCGTGGTTAAGTTGAGGATTCCATGTCGGTATTAGTGACAAATACAGATTTCTTCACGATCTCTCGCCATTTCTCTCTATTTGCAGACTCTCTGGTGCAGTCTTTCCCACGATTGACTTTACTTGATCAGTTCAGCGCATAAGTGACCTACCGCGCAATCACATGGTAAAGCAAACCTAATTTTTTTACGATGTCTAGCAGGAGGCACACAAATTTCTGTTTTGCAACTGGCCTTTATTGATAGTTGGTGTTGCCAAACGTTCCCTATTTCAGGCGTATAATCATCCCGCCGACTCTGTCCCATATGTCAATTCGATTTCACAAATGACGTTAAAGTGGCCTAATGTACGGAATAAATGTGCTCCCAATGTAATAAAAAGTGAATTGATGATCATACATTTCTATGATCGTAATTATATGAATTTTTAAAAATACATTTATCAAATTCAACATATAAAATAAAAAAAGCGCGTTCGCGTTTTTATTAAATTTGGTGTTTATTTATCCCAGATAACAATTGACCTCCCGTATTTTTTGACTATTTAAGCCTTTGTCCCTTACAGGCTGAAAAAATCTGGCAACACTAGTAATAGGGTACCTGTTTAACGGCAGCGTGATGGTGCGCCACGTGATCCCGTTGCGCCTGCAGCTGCTGCAAGCGCTGGTACTGCTGCTGGCGCTGCAGCTGCAGCTGTTGCAACTGCGCGTCCACCGCCGCGCCACCCGCACCTCCGCCCACCCCCACCCCCGCCCCGCTAGCTACCACTGCACCACCAACTAGACAACGATCACACTTTCAACTTAGTTCATCCACCTATTGTTAGACAAAAAATATAAACTACTACGGACATTACTATTCTTCTTCTTTTTAGTTATTAGTGTTGCCTTTGTGGATTTCGCCAGGAAATCACTAGTTATATTATCTGTCAGTGAGCTCACTTTGACATTGATGTAAGATGAGAATCGTACCATTATTATGGGCCGCTGGGTGTACAAATATAGGAACCTGAACATTATAACATAAAATAAATATCACTACCGCCCTACATACAATCATGCATGGATTTTAACATTACATAGTTTAGGGAATTCACAGTTACTTTAGTTTTGATGCACAAAAGAGAAAGATAGGGTACATCTAATTTTACATGTTTTTTTAAAGTTTTTATTTAACTTGCAACATTTGTGCAGAATTCGTCAAATCTTAAAACTGTATTTCAAAGCTGTTGTCGCCAACCGATAAAGCTGACATTTTTGCTTGAATGTTGAAGGTTAACTTTAGATGACAATGCATGGTTAGCTAAGTTATTACATAATTTTTAATTAACTATGGCGTTTATACCCAAGCGGGCTATGTAATTATTAATTTGTACTGTCAAGATAAAAAGTATCGAATGAAATTGTAATATGTTGCGAAGGAAAAACTAATATAATAAAATCAATTCACTCTTAATCCAAGATGGCGCCCCAGTTATATTTAACGGCTCAACTACTGAACAGATAGGGCCCGTATGCGATTTCAATACACGAAATGCTATCTTATTTTAATGGACGAATGCAAGCAATATCTTTATATACCCAGCAGCGTATCAGGTTTACTAAAAATAATTTATATTATGAATTTTGAACTCTACCACCACAGATTAAGGCATAAATCGAAGGAAGAAATTTGAATTTTTATAAGAAGCTGACGTGTTATCCAAATTATTGAATGGCTGATTTGATTACTGTTTGCTAATTGTAATAACGGCAAACCATTTATTTATTACAAATGATATATTTCGATTCAGAATTCAAATAGATGTCTCTTAATTACAGTGGTATATGCGGGTCGATAATTCGATATAATGTATGTAAATTGTACCCGAATATCATATAAAATGCAATAGAAAAATATGCTGTAACACAATATAATTAAAACCATCAGTTTAAAAACATACAATAATCCATTCCTTTCTAAAAAGCAAATATATAAACTCTATATCTTACGTTCAATTCCTTCTAGATCCATCCAATATTACGAGTTGTAAATAACACCTTTTTCTATATAAACTCTATTAGGTTAAAATTTCTGAGAGTAAATTTACAAAACACCTTTGCCTACTACGCGGGGAAGGATAAACTGAATTATTGAACGTCGAGTGTAAAACAAAACTAGATAAACGCATTGAAATTATAATTCCGATAAAAACCGTCACAGGCCTCATTACTATGTATGAAGTTATAATTTTAAATTCTGAAACTTGTGAACCAACGGTACTTGTGTTACACAATATGGTAAACCTTGTTTGTTCTCTGGCCAGAGGGCTTATGTTATGCAGTAATCCAACACTAGTTATCGATAGTGTGCTACAGTAAGTTCCAACTAATGTTTGGCATGGTCAAGCTTCGTTTGCGCAGAGCAGATCTACGAATATTTAGAATGACTGAACGTAAAATTAAAATGTATATGGAGTCTTGTTTCAATGACCATAAGGTGTAAAATAGAAAGCATTAGGTGTCCGTCTCAACAACGTGGATATGGGTGGTTCGCCACATGGCGTGATACTTGATTGAATCATTCTGATTGGCCGACATTTGCTGCGATTCAAAATGCAGAGGTTAAGCAACTTTAGTAAGGAAGGTCATAGGATAGGTGACCAATTATTTATTATCTCGATCTCCTACGTGGTTCGGAAGGCACATTAAGCCATTGGTCCTAGCTACATCTGCAGTCGAAAAGCTATATGAAGGTGTACTTTAACTTCTTGTACTTTAACTAAGTTACTTTCTATCAATAATATCGCAAAGTATTCCTTAACAATATTTCTTAAGTTCGATTATGCAAGTACTCCAACATTCTTGTGATAATTTCAATAAATAGTGATACTTATGTTTTTGTTTAGCAACCATATATGATAATGAATGAAGTTATTTCAATGCAATGACATAACGAAAGACTAGTTTTTTTTTATTATACATCAAAATTTTACATTTTCTGATTTCGAGCGAATATGACGAAAATGAGACTAAACGCCATGCTGCTCTGTAGTCGTGATGTGAATTGTGGTCGTAAACAAAAGCGTTGATCTTGGTTTTTGACCGACTCCAAAAGAAGGAGGTTATGTGTTCGACGGCCATTTATGTTGTTTTAAATATGTTCACTGCTACTTACTCCAATTTTTGACAGATTTAAAAGTCTTTTTTAATCGACAGCTTAATGGACCAAGAAGGTCCCGTTTAAATTTTTTCGAAATCGAATCAGAAATTTTCCCTTTATAAGAAAACAAAATACGTTTTTCACCATATATCACCTAAATATTTAGATAATAATTATGTATTGTAATTCATGTATTACAGCCAAAAATAAAAAGATTGCACATTTCGAATTCATTCAAAATCAGAAAGGAGGATTTTCTATGTTCAAGGAGTATGTATATTTTTTATGAAAGTAGGTATGTCAATCGATTTCTTTTTGAATTGTGAACCAACTTCTATCAAACTAGCCGTTTCTCCGCGGCTTCGCTTGCGTAAATTATAGCCTATGTCGAATGCGTATTATGTAGCTTCCCGTAGATAAATCGGTCCAATTGTTTAGGAGCCTATCCAATGCAAACAAACAAGCAATCAAATCTTTCCTCTTTATAATAGAAAAAAATTATATCAAGCAAATAAACAAAATCTTTTTTTCTAAGACTAGTGTGTTGAATATTTTTATTTATATAGATGTTGAATATTTTATAGTATTACATATTGTATAAAAAATATTAAAACCACTAAAAAGAAAGAAATAAAAACTTTTAAAAAATTGAACCCATTTTCAACTTAAAAAAAATGTGATATTGCTTATCTCAATAGCAACTTATTCAAGTAATTGCTATTGAAGTCGAGCGCCTATCATTTAATTCATCCTCCGTTCGATTTTAATAGCATTTTCTTGAAAAAGTCGCTTTTGAGATAAGTATTAATTATCACTTTTTTAAGTTTGAAGTCGGTTCTATTTTTTAAGTTTTTATTTAATATTTAATTTCTGTTTGTACCTAACAGATTGTGTTAAAAAATATTTTAGTGAATTTTTACACGTTATTTAATTCCAAGGTGGTACCAAATCGGGTCCGTTAGTTGTATTATATATTTGCCTGTTATGTATAATGTTAAGCGTGGTTAAGCGACCAATAAACGTATTTTCCGTTAGATTTGCACCGACCATAAATCATAACATTTTTAATTCGTAAAATGGTGCGCTGTCTGCATAATATTTGCCCTAAACAATGGTTTTGTTCCATTTTAGTTATCAAAATATCTGCTTTTTAAGACTCAAAATCAATCAATCATTACTGAATTAATATAGTAATGTTATGATTAATCGTAAGATTATAATGAGTCTTATTTTAATAAACATAAGGTGTATAATATAACTCTTGATATGGCGTGATACTTGAATCATTCCGATTGGCAGACATTTGCCGCGCTTCGTAAATTCTGCGCAGGTACATCAATTGTATTTTAATGTACTATACTTCCTTGGATGTTTCACATTAAACTCTATACTAATATTATAAGGAGGTAAAGTCTCGAGTAATTTTTGGAAATATTGGATCGATCATAATTTATTTCACCTACGGGAGCTGTATCATACGCAGATGAATTTACAAGGGGCGAAGTAGCGGGAACAGCTAGTTTACTAATAAGTTAAACCTTACCCGGCGACTGCGGCGGTTGTGTAGGCACCGCGGCGGGGATAGTCGTCGCCCGGGCACCTTGCTGTTGTAACCATTGTACCTGTTAATGAAATACATAAAAACAATTAATGGAGTTGCACAATGATAATAAACTATTCTTAGAACAATCAATGGAGTCAGAGAACGAGAATATCTTTTTTGATAATGCATAAATTTATTATTATTTTCTTTAGTTTCAAACTTTACTTAAAAATGTCTCAGTACTTTTAGAACATTAACAGAGTAAATGTAATATTATACAAGCTTTTGCCCGTGACTTCGCCCGCGTAGTCTAGTTTTAAGTCCACAAATTAGAAAGTTCCATAAAAACTTTCATACCCTAATTTACCCCCTTGGGGGTCGAATTTCGTCAAATTCCGTTTTAGTGAGCACCTACGTCCTAAAAAGCAATCTGCATGCAAAATTTAAAACTCCTAGCACTTGTAGTAACTCTTATTTAGCCTTTTCGGGTGGAATTTTCAAAAATCATTTCTTAGTGCCCCTCTAGACTCCCTAAGGAATCTTCATTCCAAATTTCAACTTTCTACGCTCATTAGTTTCGGCTGTACGTTGTCTGTCCGTCAGTCACTCAGTAATGCAAGAATTTTATATATTATTATATGGTGCCAATAAATGGCGCCAAGTAAAAAAAATCTAGTAATTTTTTATGCTATTTCTGATACTGTCCATAAGGTGATGCCCTAAGCAATTCCTTATTTTGCTTTAGGTACTTATTATTCTTGCGATATTTTCTTGTGAATTTAACTGTGCCTGTACAATTTAACTGTACCTGTTGTTGTTGCGTCAGTCCTGGTGGCAGTTGACTTCTGATGAAGGTAACGCTCTGAGGGGCGCCGGTAGGCGTCGGAGTACCAGGTGAGCCTGCCACCACACCTGGTTGCTGTTAACAATTGAATAATAATAATAATATAAGCTTTTTTGCACACTACAAAATAGCAAAGTTAAGAGAGGAGTTAATGAATTATTTTACTCTTTGTTTTAAGAACTTGTGCAACATAGTGTTTAAGAGCATTTTAGACTCAACGCCATTTAAAGAAAGCTCATTTTTCTTTGTTGTATTTAATTACAAACTAAGAATATAGTGCATTTTAAAAAGCCTTATTATATTCACACCTAAGTTGTTGAAATCTAATCAGTATCTAATTAAAAAAAAAAAAAAAACTACTTTTAGGATGTGCGTTAATTATGTTACACATTGTATAATTATGTTATATTGACCTGCTGTTGCGCTAACGCAGCCGCACGTTGAATAGATAACTGTCTCCTTTTCTGCAGCTGCGCGACGAACATGGCTCGCTGCTTCGGGTCCATCTGCTGGAGTTGCGCGTGAGTTTGCGCATCCAGATGGATAAGCTGACGACCGCCGCCAGACCATGAAACCTGGAGACGGAATAAATGGGTAACTATGAATATTGCAGTGACCACGCATCGAATGAAACTCAGTGAGAATTTGATAAAGATCGACGTTCTAATAAAGGTTTGGGGAAACCGCTGACTGTGGATATCATATGACTCATAGGCTTGGAGACCCCTGCTCAGCAGTGGGCATGATGGATGGTGTTTATGAATGTTACATAGAATCGAGAATGTTTGCTGTCTGTCAACTTAGACTGTCTTTGAATTCTATTTTGAGTGCAAAGTACAATACCCCAAAACATGACAGTGCCCATTAATCTCTCTTACTTCACCCACCTTAATGATGATAAAGTAAATCTCAAGTCAATTCAAGCTATAAAGAAAGGAAAAGGGGTCTTTTACAGGCCCAACTAATGGTAATTAAATGAAAGGGTAGATCAAACAAATTCCGAGAAGTACCATATAGTGGTCTATACTCAGGAACATGGGATGATTATAAAAGTTGTCAACTAATTTCAATTGTTTTTTTTTATCAATTGATTTGAATAGTAACCTGTTTCATATAAAGTGCAAATTTAAATAAAGTAACATGTAGTGCTGTATTTCGAATGTCCTATGTCAATAGAAATAACAGAAAGTATTGCCTAGATGAATATTCAAGCGGTTAGGTAAACATTAGACTGACTATTACAACTTTTAATGCATATCCCTAAATTCTTTTATAGTTCAATACAGGCAGTATCATATATACTTGTGTCTTAAGACGACCAAAGAATTAGGTGAACAAAACCAAAACATTTTAAAATTATGAAAATAATATTTCAATATTGTTCAACACTGTGAAGAATCTTTTCATCGATTTTAATGTTGGCAATTCCAATATGTACTGAATGATTGAACTATGTTATTGATTTCTATGTTGCCTAATCTTTGACTATGACTGCATTTACTCTTTTAAAATAAGCAATATAAGCATTATGCGTGTAGGGAATTAGATTAGTATTAAATGTGTAGTGGTAATGATTTTGCCAAAGGGAAAAAAATAAAATCATGCAAAGCAGGCACAGTGTTCAAGCAAAACAAAGGTTAATGATTCTTTCCTTTTAATTAAATAAAGATTAATAAAGACTTTCTCAGACACAACTAGTTCTCAATTGAAATAAAACAAAAAGTTACACTTATTAGTAACATAGACTTAAAAAAATATGCTTATTCTTTAATAGCTCTTACCCTAGGACCAACTGCTCCTGGTTGAGCTATCTGTTGTCTCTGTTGCAAGTACTGCTGCTGTTGCCATGACACATTCTGTCCCCCTTGCACTATTTGTTGACCACCAGGTGAGACAATTTGTTGACCGCCACCATGAGTGATGATTTGCTGTATGCCACCCCCTGATGTTAACTGAGTACCTGGCTGTGGTGACTGAGGTACCTGTGACAACACTTGCTGTGCCTGACCTACAGTCTGGCCGATAATTTGCTGTCCTGATTGTGTCACAATCTGCTGTGATGACTGAGCGATCACTACTTGCTGTTGGCCTTGCTGTGTGATGACATGCTGACCTCCTTGCGACAGCACTTGTTGTGCACTTTGAGTTATTATTTGTTGGCCCCCTTGATTGACAATCTGTCCTCCTTGGTGAACAATTTGATTTTGTGACACTATTTGTTGACCACCCTGCAAGGTGACTTGCTGGTTTCCATGAACTAAAATCTGTTGTTGACCAGGGTGCTGGTTTATCAAAACTTGTTGAGGTGCTTGCACTATCTGTTGTTGACCAGAACTATTAAGGAGCTGCTGTTTCTGCACTAAAATTTGATGATGGGTCTGACCAATACCTTGAGCTTGAGAACCTATAGACTGCTGAAGTATTTGCTGGGACGTCTGTTGTATTGTATGCTGAGGACTCGACTGAGGCTGTTGGTGTGTTTGCATTATTTGCTGCTGTAATATAACTTGATTTTGAGGGTTTCTGGTTTGTACTAGTGGACTTCTAATAATCTGGTGTTGACCTTGAACATTCTGGACCATTTGTATATTCTGCTGCCTCCATGTCCCTTGCACATTAGCATTTTGCTGACCCTGTATTGTTTGTTGGACCTGCTGAATTTGCTGACTTATCACAGATTGTTGGCCAGTATTGCCTACTAGCTGATTGAGTTGTACACTTTGACCGGTCTGTGCTTGTGAAGATGTAACAAGGTTCTGTTGGCTGACAACTCCCATGTTGATATTTTGCTGTTGATTTGTCATGGACTGAACAGTTTGCTGTTGAATCAGATTTTGATTTTGATTTGACAATTGTTGACCAGTATTTAAGAGTTGCTGATTAATAACTTGGCTTTGTCCTAGACTTTGATTAAGTTTAGCATTCTGCAGACTTTGTTGAAGATTCTGAGTTGATTGAGCAAGCTGTTGGGCTATATTCTGCACAGCTTGTGAAGCACTCTGTTGACTCAAACCTAAGCTTTGCTTCATAGCCAAATTTTGCTGATTTAATTGAGCCTGCTGAAGGTTATTAGCACTCTGACTGAGCATTTGACTTATATTTTCAATTTGTTGCTGTGCAGAGCTCATAGATGTGGGCGTCTGAATATTTTGCTGTATGTGATGTTGGTTGTTCTGGATATGTTGCTGAATTTGATTAGACAGACCTTGATTGATTTGTGAAACTGACACATTGGGCTGGAAATTTTGCTGGTTTTGTTGGTTATTTAATTTATTCTGTTGTTGTTGCTGTTGTTGCAACATTTGCATTTTGAGCTGGTGTTGTTGCATAATCTTCTGTTGCTGTATCTGTATTGCTGTTAAGCCATGTGGTTGGGATTGTTGTTGCGTTTGCTGTTGCTGCCCTTGATACTGTTGCTGTTGTAAATTAACTTGTTGTGTCTGTATATTCATACTTGGCTGTGACACAATAGTATTTTGACCAAACTTCTGCATGAGCTGTGCGTTTGCTTGAGTACTCTGTATTTGAATATTCTGTGTAACAATGCCCTGTGGCAATGATTTGCTCATGATGCTAGACGTCGGTAAAGGTGTGGTTGTAAAGCCCATAGAGGAAACGCTTGATGTAGCTACTGATGATGAGTTAGCAGAAGATGGTGGATGATTCCAAGGCATTCTCTGTTTAAGTTTATCTAGCAATGCCTGTGTTCCATCATCTTTACTTTCTGACATATTTTGTGTAGGTACTTCGTTTTTAGCTATGCCTTCTTCGAAATCAAATCCTGTAATAGCACTAATACGATCCATTGGTTTTGGTGGTGGTTGAGGGATTATCAACAGTTTCGGATGAAACACTTCAGTTACAGCTTGTATTCTAGCTCTTATGCTCTCTAAAACCCAATCAGGAGTAACTATTTTAATTTTATTAACAGGCAAGTTAAGAGCAGCACTATATTTACTGCCCGATGCAGAGCCGCAGATCAAATGTGTGCACTGAGTGTCCAAGTTTAATTTAACTTTGCCACCGTGAAACGTAAGAAGCGCGAACAATGATTTGGCGTCAGTTGCACTCACTTTGGATACACAAGCAACAACATTCGTGAATATTTTATTCTTATTGGGTATGTAAGGCTTTGTACAAGCTAACTTTTTCAACCTCGCACAGGCTAACACCCAGTTCTCAGTTACTGCTGGTATTTGATATATATCTTGTGCATCATCCAGGTCTGTATCCTCCGCGTTGGGACCACAAATTAGATGAGTTACATAGTCAGAGAAATATTTTGTACTTTGGGCACCGCCTGACTGCAGAAGTTGTAATACCTAAAATAGACACAAACAACGCTATACGTTACTTCGAATAATGATATATAAACAAAATAAAACGAGCAAAAATGTCATAAAAACAAACCCTTTCCGAGACATCACCAGACAAGTAATACTTGACATCTTTGAAAATTGGCTCTTGCAAGGTTAAAGAGTCTAGATCGTCAACAATCGTTACCATTTTCTATTCACTAAAATGATAAAAGAAATAGGGTTTTTATTTAATTCAACATTTTTAACTTTCATCAAAACGCCGAAAATTCAGGCGACGACGTCCATGATTGGTGTTACCATGTCTTACACCAAATCCAAACAAAGAGTAAAGTAAATACGACTTCATTTAAAAATTAATTTCCATTGCTATTCAAACAAAACAATGCATTCTATATATTCTATAATTCACTTATCAAAGTGTATATTAGAGTAAAAGTAAAAAATAATATATTTAATTGAAAGCTTATATATAAGTTTTATTGGTAATGGCAAGTCTGTCTTTCGTCTAGGAAAATCAAGAAGTTTTAGGGCGTATTATACTTATCACATCAATTGCCTAAAAAACAAATTATGATATTGACAAATTTTATAACAAACTTTCATCCCCTATTTCCATCTGTTTTTAGCGATAAAAGGTAAGTAGCCTATGTCCTTTCTCTAGGTTATATACAATTTCATTAAGTTGGGTTCAGTTATTTCGCTCACTGAATACTACAGTGGCACAACTCAAAAAACATATTTCGAGAAACGCTCTCCGAAGTTATGATAATTTAATATATTTATAATTATTAAAATCATGTTTTTTTAGCATAACAGTTAAATCGTTTGTTACATATATTATTACTGTTAAGTAATTAATTTCTTCTTTACATTATCTATGGGATGCCACCACAATGTTGTGGCGTTTTCTCGAAATAATGGTTTTTGAGTTGTGCCACTGTAGTATTCAGTGAGCGATTTAGCCTGGAAGCGTAACAACACTTATTTGCCTTACTTAAGGATAGTTGTGATTCGATATTGTTTTGGGATCGATACTTTTAATACGATTCTAGAATCTAGCAAAGCATCCATACTAGACCAGACGATGACCGAATGAGGAAGCTCCTTCCTCATAAATCAGCGCCTGAGCACCATACCGTTATCGGTAATCTGACACCAGCACTTGAGTCACCTGACGCCTTTAAATTTAATAGTAATAAAGGTTATTCTAGACCTCTGACCGTGCGCTTGTATACAAGCGCATGGTAAACGGTGCACTTCGCCATATTATACAAAAAAAAACAAACAAAAAACTAGATGTCATTACGATTCTTTCTTGATTTCTCCATGACAACCCTTCCGGTTTTCTTTCATGTATTAATTTTCAAAAGTCTATAAACAACTCAATCGTACTTTTTCGTGTTCGTATTGATATCTATGTTTCGAAATTTGCGATTTCAGTTTTTTTATTTGTTAGTTAAAAGGAATGGAAATGACTATTATGAGTCCATTCCTTTCCTGCAAAAATCAACTTTTGGTAGAGTCGCCATCTAGTGAGATGCTTTTAAGTGCTTTCTTTTTTTTTCTTAAAATACTTCCTCATTAGAACTATATCGAGTTATCCAAGGCATATGCAGTGATATTTACCAACAATAAATGTCCATTTTTAGTATACCGAAAATTATAATATCGCCGTAATAAATATCGATTCTTCATAAATCGATTACTTTTTCGCAAGCCTACTCCGCAGTGGACATGAATTTTCCGGATCACGGAATGGAAAAAGCCAGTCCGGAATAGAGAAAAGTAAAATTCCGGACCGTAAAATTCCTGACAATGCACAGGCTAGCATATGGTCTGGCATATCGGACGGACCACCGGACATAAAAAATCAGTGTAGTGCACAAACGCCCTAATATGAATAAATAAAAGAAGCTTTATTTTATGTATTTTGAAGTGCCAGGGACAAAAATGATTTTTTAGGCATTTTTTAAAAATCTTGATCTATGCTTGATAGTCCTGGGTACAGAACAGTTACCCGGATTGCGAACGGTCATGGGTTCGACTCCCAAGTGGTAATTTTTCTCTTGGTCTAGGGATTTTTTATATAATTCTAAAAGAAAATGTTATTTGAATTAAACATATTGTTTATTAATTACCTTTAAATAAGGTAATTTTATTATAAAGTTGTCTCTTGGACTTATTTTTAGTTTATAATAGTTTTGTTGTAAATAGATACTCAAAATACATACATATTAAACACCCAGACCGATACAAATCTACATGTTTATGCACACGACTTTATAATTACGAACAAGAACCACTTGGTGTATTGGATAGTTTTCAAATAGTGTTAAAATTTTTGGTAAAAAAATATGTAATAGTACCCTACTCCATATATTATGTACTATCTTAGAACATCGAATATTTGGTCAAATAATTGTAAACGTTTGCTATGTTGGCGCGTGGGTTGGCTCAGAAACAAAACTCTGTTATGTTATTGAAAAAACTTTGATTATTAATTATACTCATAGTAAAATCACATTTACAACCCGAAAATATGATATTGCAACAGATACAATTTATTCTCATAGTTATATTTGCAGTTTTAATACGCACTGTGGCATCGTATCACATCCGAACGTTGGCACGATCGCAAACAAACTAAAACAAAAAATAATGTAAAGAAAAACAAAAAACCCGACTGCGTTAAAAACGAATTAAAAAAAAACATGAAAAATTAATTTAAATAAAAACTAAAAAGAAAGAAACAAGCCCAGTAGTTTAGAATTCTGTTAAGTAATATTAACAGAACGACTCATAGTCGTGGCCCATTCAAATTTTACCAATCAAATCTTCCCAAGGGTATGTTTTTCTTTAAATTATTTATTTTTATTTTATACTTTTTAGTTACGATTCTTTAACTTCGTTATATATCTTAAAAATTTCGCAATCAAGTCTTTTCATTGAGGGAGTTAATATCGTGAGGATTATTAAGTAACTTGCAGTGGTCTAAACTACTGATGATTAATCCTTCTATAGACCTAACTCGGTTCAAAGCTACATATGCTTTATTTTTTTACCAAAAATATTTGTTCTTCATGCTCTTTTCTTCATTCTCTTTTATATCGTTTATACTTTAAATAAAATCTTAAATCAATAAGTAAGAAAATTATCAAGAATGATTGTTTTGGTTAACAACTTTAAATCGTTATATATCCTAAACTATTATTTAAAATGAAAAATGATAAATTTTAAAATACCCATTCAACGACACCCCACTTGACATAGTTCATCGATTTTTATTTTTTTCATTTTGACAATACGGTATCTGGTTGTCGCTGTGGTGAATTTTGATTCCAACAAGTATAAAAGTATCTTGAGTCTGGAGAAACCCAACCCATTCAAAATTTTATCTAAATTCCTTGCAATCAATAATAGTCTTAATTTATAAATATCTTTGTTTTCTATATACATTCTATTTGTATTATCTTTAACAATGTAATCAGATAAACACGCTCAGAGCTATTTTATTTTTATTTTATTTAAATTCAAAATTTATTTTATTATTGTTTCTATACGTGTAAAGACCACAAACGTGACATTGGCGGAATTGTGTAAATGCGAATAGGCCATGAATTAAAAAAGAAGAAAAAGAAGAATTTTGATTAATGTCATGTCTTTAGTGACACTCGTAAGGTCAAGACGAATCGATTGACGTAAGAATCATCAAAATCGGCTACGCATTTGGTCTCTAAAACGCAACATAGAAACAAACATATATACATAGACTGATAAACACATTACCCTCCTTTGCGTCGCGCAGTCGGGTAAAAATAAGACCGCACTTTGAAGTGAGGCGTTAAGTCTTTAGGCATTTTTGAGACTCTGCTAGTTGTATTATTGACCGAAGGTATTAAGTCTCGGTATTGCCAGATACCTTATGTACTTTATACTAGTATGTAATTCATAAAGATACTTTAAAAAAATAAAAAATCATTGATTTTCTGCTTCTTTTTACAAATTTTGTTATAAATATTACAAACAATATTTTTCGCGTAAGGTATCGATGGCTCTTTGGGCATTTTCACAATAAAAAATTACAAATATTCACAACAATTTACACTTTGACTCAGTTGTTAACACGGTAGACAATGTATATCCATAGGTCGCTGGTTCAAATCCGGCTCGAAGGACCATTTCATGTACAAGATGGTACACCAAAGAAAAGAGATTATAATTTAAAAAGATACAGTTTATTGGCATACAAATATTTATATGTAAATTGGTAATTAATGTATGATGATTATGAGTTGCGGTTGAAGACTGACGTGCCATGCCCAAGATTTGGTACAGTAGCGTGAAAATACAACGCTGCAATTGTGCGGTTCATTGTACCCTACATTGCCATATGAAATACTTTTCTTTTGTTTTTTTTTTAGACTTATAGTAAAAATATATTAAAATTTCTTGAAGAAAATCTTTAATAAATAGTCACCAACTTTGTAAACTTCTTTTAAATCAATAATGGGTTACAATAAAATCAAAAGATTGTAATTTTTCTTTTTTATTTCCAACTCAATAAAACTTCAATTAAAAACGATAAACGCAAGAACACGACATTTTTGTCTGTAACGTCATATTGGGTCTTATGGTAATATTTAGGTCATATGCCTAACCGTGTCATATAGTCATACGCATATTTATGTCTTAAAGTAATACAGAAAAATCATATGTATGTTCAAAATGTCAAAATGACGAAATAAAACAGCTTACTAGACATGCCCATACACAGAAAATAAATATTTATCTAATTTGTTTATTTTTTTTCAGAACAAAAACAATACTTCACGGCCTTCTGGAAATTAATAAAACACTTTCAGCAAAATGAATGGGTTTTATTAAATTTTGATATGCAGCGAGTTGGATCCACAAGTCTTCCGTAAGCACATTTAGTCGTATATCCCTGTCGATGTTTAATTCTTGGCAAATTACTGTAGCTTCTAATGCCTCGCAGTTGCATAAAAAAGACCCCATCATAATCGCATGACCTCTACATCGCGTTTGGCTTGCAAATTTTAAAGTTTTTTTTATCACTGCCATATTTTTATTTTTGAACATTTTTGAAGAATTCTAGATCAACATGTCTTTTCTTTATGTATTTTATGATTTTAACAACCATTTCAGTAACAACTCTAAAATTCCCTAACTTCATGATATCTTTCAAGAGCAAATTTAATGCATGAGATGCACATCCCACCGTGAACGTATGTGCGTATTCTTGCTCAAGCATAGTCCACAGAGCCTTCATATTGTTAGTATTGTCGGTAATAACTGCTACAAACTTTGATGGACCTATTTCGTCTATTACTGTTTAGTTGTGTAAATAAATAAGTAGAAGTTTCACGCTTTAATCCAGTATATACACATTTATATAATACAGATTTTGGTATTTTGATTGTGAAATTTATAGTGCCTTTACCATTTATGTCACGCCAGCTGTCCATCACTAGCGCGAGAGCGCCTGCTTGATTAATAATATGAGGTTTTTCTTCATATGCGTTCATACTCAGAATCTAGCAAAGTATTGCTAATGATGTATCTCGTAGGAACTGAATGAAGGATTTAGTGCAGCGCTTGCTTTTTGCCAAAAACTGGATTCTAAAATATCGAGTGATGTACCCGGGAGCATAAATAGCTCGGGCTAGGCAGAGCTCTATTTCCTTCTTTTGTTTCGGAGAAATAACATTTGATGAATGCTGTGTCGATTCCTGGGAAAATGAGAACGATGCTGACGACGAGTTTTCCTCAGTATTAAAGGACACTGGAATCAACGGAATTAGACTTTGCGAAGATGTTGATGGTACATGACAGGGTGCCGATAAAGAAATAGCTGCAGTGATAGGAACTTCTCTTTTAGTTTCATATTGAATTGTCATTTTAACATTTTCCGGACATAGTTTACATGCACTCAAACAATGTTTTTTAAGCTTTGTAGCGTTGTTTCCCAAATATTGTCGACAGAAATTACACTTTGTAGTTTTCTTCCCATCTGTATTTATCAGTTCGAAGTAATTCCATATGTTCGATGTTCGTCGAGGCATAATCTCAGTTCACAATTATCGCGAATTATTGTCCGTCCCTTCCTGCAACTTAAAAACATATTTTCTATAAAGTTGCAGGGAGATAGAGGTATTAAAAATCGGGGAGATTTAGAAGCATTGCTTCATCGAAATTTAAAAATATTTATTGTACACATTCCTATTACTTTTTTTGATTATAAGGAAACGTTTGTATTAATAAAATTTTATTAAAAATTATTTGAATTCTATTATATATAACGGCGGGTAGTCCGAATGGGTTATTGCGAAGCCCAAATAGATCGTCCATATCGGAGGACTATCTTTAAAATAACACTGCAGGCGTGTATACCAACGTGGATTTGTTCCATTTTATCACTTTTCTTACGAAAATATAACGAGATGAGCGTGATGTCATCTGATGTCTTTACTCCTCGGCGTTTGGAAACAGAATGTGTCCCAAAATGGCGGCAATTTGATTTTTATTAACGAACTGTCAAAGTCAGTGTCACCATTCTAATAAAATTAAGAGTATCGATGATCACGCTCTCTTTACAATCGAGTAATTAAGTAATCGAGTAACTAGCAATTAAAATAAAAGAAACTAAATCAAACGATCTTCGTAATGATGATGCGACACGGCCATTCTGGGAGACGGTGCGTGCTCTGCGCCAGTCGCGTTTCTGTAACAAAATAGAAGAGCTTTTCTGAGCTAGGTATCTGTAAACCTAGTCATTTGGGAATTTTGATTTGAACTAGATTTCGACCATCATTTCTTAAACATCAAATTTATTACCAACGGGTATTTTATCACAATTGTTATAAAAACGGTAGGTAAGTTGTTTAGGAAAATTTAGGAAATTGTTTAGGAAAATGAGCTGTTTTATCAAGTATATTTGGTCAATGCAAATGCTCCACGCATACTTGCATTGATTATTGTACTCGTAGCAAATATGATGCTGTGGTCATGAGCGGTCCTGTACGCCATGATCCACAGTAGCTCAAAAGGAGATGGGGAAAGGTCGATGCTGGGGTGTGGGTCTTACATGAGACCGTGGTCCCCAGAGGCTCTAAAGGAAACAGGCAGGGCGAAGCTGGGGTCTGGGCCTTATTTATGACCGTGGTCCCCAGAGGCTCTGTGAAACGACTTAAAAATTGGGAAGTTCATTGGATGGGATTTATATAGTCTTTTCATAAGAAATTATTGATTATTGAATTGAACTTTCATAAAAATGTTTTAACTAGGCATCTAATTGATGTGCAGCGCGGTAGATTCTTTTCTCGGTCAGTCCTGACTTCAACAAAAGCAAGATTTTGAAACCAATTAAATCTTTAATAATTAGAGACCGTTTTTACTTTAAGTTAATAAATTCTATCATCAAATCTTATTTACAATGAAAGTATGCATTAACAACAAACTGGTTTGAGAACCTCGATTGCCCCACTTAACCAGCAATGCAATCACACTTTTTCAATTTTATTTTCACTTAACTAGTGATTTTAAGAGTGTTACTAATTCGATTGCGATGAATTCTTCACGATATTAATTACTTTATAAGGGAGCACTCGATTCCAGTATCATAACAAAATGAAAACGACTCACCAAAATACTGCAAAATACTAGCAAGGGTAGCAATGATGCAGACGTCTACACGTCGCTCACTAACAATACCAGCAGACGAGCCATCAGGTTTGCCACCGTTGCATCTTCTTCGGCTACAGGTATCTTGAGAGTAGTGACAATCTCTTCCACAATTGAAGAACGTGACAGACTCGTTCGGGTTACTGTTCTTCATATTAGGAACGCTTGGTTCTCCCTACGAAGGCTTCAAGTGTTGCTTCTTTTTTTTTTTATCGTTTTTTTAACCAAATAAAATAAAAAAGATACGCCGCCGTCGAACATAGGTATAACCTCCTTCTTTTCGATTTTGAAGTATGTTTAGAAGAAAAGTCACGGATTCAATCCAGTCTCGGTCACATGTTAATTTGTTACTTACTCTACTGCATGATATATTTTTATGGACTAGCTGTTTTCTCACGACTTCAGCCACGTAAATTATAATGTCACCTGCGTATGATGTAGCTTCCACGTAGGTGAAAAAATATTTATATAATTGGATCAGTATTTCTAAATATTACCCGCTACAAACACACAAAATTTGAAAATTTCTATATAATATATTAGCTTATGCCCGCGTCTTCGTCCGCGTGCTTTGGGCAGCATTTCTAAAATGATTTTTTTTCATTATATCGTATGAAATATCTGAAATAAGGTTTCATGATTTTTTCTTCGACATTGACAAACTTATCATTATTTTTGTGCTGATTAATAGTTGTTTAAGTTAAGAATTAAAAATTTAACCTACCTTTGCTAATTGTGAAACTTTTTTGTGACACATAAATAAAACTGTAGGTTTGTTAATATATAGGTATACCTATACTTATTATGATATTTTTAACTTGTAAGACCGTTTGTTTCTATAAATATATAAAAGTGAAATAATAGTATGGTTAAGTATATTGTAAAAATGGTTCTCCAATTTTTTACCGACTTCAAAATCCAAAAAAGGAGGTTATTGTTAGACGGCGATGTATTTTTTTTATAATGTGGTTATATCATGTCAATTCACAGTATGATATTGCTATGGAAATGAGATGACGTCACAATGGTTTTAATCGTTGCTGACTTGTTTTTTGGTACACATCCGTGAAGGGGACTTTACATTTTTATGGAACTAGTTTTATTGTTTGTCAACAAATTTCCTAGGTACGTATAGGCGTTAATAAGTACTTCCTAAATATGATAAAAAATTAGCTCGGAAGGGATTCGAAAGATTTGCGTATTTCTTGTATATTATATCTATGGTTATTAACCGTTTTGGCTGGCTACCAAAAATATATATATATTTAAAGCGCAGAACCTTGTTTAATTTATTTATGTATCTATCAGTATTAATGAAATATTAGTATTAATTAACGAGAACTTCGATGGCGCAGTGGCCAGTGCTTTCGATCTGCGATGCTTTCGTCAGAACCGATCTAAGGATGGGTGATCAAAAATTTGTTAACTCGAATTCTTCCGTACTTCGGATGGTAGGTTAAATCTTTGATATATAATACTATGATACGTAATACTAACTTTTATTATACATAAAAACCTTCCTTTTGAGTCACCCTATCTATGAAAACAAACCGCATCAAAATCGGTTGCGTAGTTTTAAAGATTTAAGCATACATAGGGATATACGGACAGAGAAAGCGACTTTGTTTTATATTATGCAGTAACTAACGGTTTGCCCGCGACTTCGCCCGCGTAAATTGGTAGCCTATATCACCCGTCTATGATGTAGCTTCCCGTAGGTGAAATAATTTTCATTATCGCATCAGTATTTAAAAAAACTACCTCCTACAAAAAAAATAAACTATCAAAGTTAGAAGTTTTCCCTCTTTATATATTTGTACTAGATTTGTCTACCAGACAAAATGAGAAATAAAAAAAAACTAAAAATCATAAGCCGGACGAGTTGGGGATAAAAATTCATAGTTCATCTACCAGACAAATTGTGAACCATACCTGTTAAACAGTCCTGTGCCTCAGCAGCAAGTTCTTTTTTGTTAATTATCAGCCAGTTAATATCCTCATAATTGGCTGATAATTTACTTAAAAATACTTGCTTCGCTTACAGAGTGTCCTTTAAATATTTTCGCCATCTATTCGTCTATCAGGGTGTGTACAACACAAATTACTACCTTTAGCCGGTTTTTTATAAAAAACAACGTAAAAATAAGGCATTTGGAAATGAGACAATGAGATTACCTTTCTAAGGGTTAATAGAAAAATAACACAAACTTACCTACCCCTAAAATTCACCATCGAGTCCATTTCTTTTTTTAGTTATGGTAGATGGGTAGAACACACCCGGTTTGTTTCGGCCGCTGTCTCTTTTTAGCTTCTTTTGCTCCTTAAGGCGTAGATAATTACTTTACCATGAACGATTTAATGAAAACCGTTGACAGCTGTGATGTATCAAAGTTCTCTTTCTCGTTATTCTTAAAGAGGCCGAAATCTATTTAGTCCGTCAGTGAGATGTCAATAATATGTGACAGTTCAATTATTTATTCAGTAAAGATTTATTCAGTAAAAAAATAAAATACGTGTTCTATATTATTCAATAATCTACCTGACGGACAAAAAAGCATGTTCTCTACTCCAAATGAGATAGGACCGATATATTCACGAGTCTTCTTTACTACATCTGCAGTTGATAAAAGCCACAAATTCGTATTGGCCAAGCTCGACTCGTTCGTTCTTAGTATTTGATAATTAGTAGTAGGGACATTAATGGGCTAATGATAATGGTTGTCAAATGTTAGAAGTTCCCTTCAGTTACCGCAGCAAGATCTGGTATTTCCAACTTCTTTTACCAACACAGTGTAATTTTCCGAGTCAGTATGCAACTGAATAATTGTTATCGTTTTAATAAATTTCATAGATAAAGTGGAAAAAACTTTCTTTGCAGTTGATATTATTTTCGAAACATTTTTTGGAGTTTATTTTACATGTAATGTCTTTGTGCGATGACTTTTTGCCATTTTGTAGTCAGTCACAATGACTGCCGCTGTATAAATTTTGAAAGTTGTGGTCAAAAATATCCCGCCTGTAGTGTTGGTTCTCTCTTGATGGATGCTACCCAAAAAATTTTGTGCCTTGTACCTGTTTTGCTGAGTGAAGATCAGGGTGGTCTTCTATTGAACACTCCCAAAATCAAACATTAATAGACGTGCTCATGCTCAAAGCACTCTCAAACTTCACGTTCATGTCACTTTCAATAAATTATATGAATATTGTTTAATATTGGGCAAATTGTACGCTGAAATTTTCTTAGCTACACTTTCTTAGTAAGTATACTTTTTCTTTACAAATATATATATATAAAAAGGGGAAAATACAAAGGAAGAGTTAACTATCTACTTTCAAGCATCTTTCATATTAAATTTTTTTCGAAAAATATAACAGACTTCAAACTTTAAAAAAGTGATAATTAATACTTTTCTCAACATATTTTTTTCCAATAAATAATCAATATTCATATTATTGAAAGATTTGGCTGCTTGTTTGTTTGCATTGAATAGGCTACATTATACGTGGGGGACATAGGCTATAAGTTATGCAGGCGAAGTCGCGGGTAAACAGCTAGTTTGATAGAAATTGGTTCAAAATTCAAGAATAAATCGATTAACAGATCAATAAAAATATAAATGCTCGTTTAACATAGAAAATCCTCCTTTGAGATTTTAAATGAATTCAAAATACAGAATC